GGCCAGGCTGCGGGCCGGACAAAGGGCATCTCCCGCGTCCCTCCCTGGCCAGGGGCCTCTCAGCCTCCTGGTGGTCGATGGAGGCCCATTGCCTCTTGTTCTTAAAGGAGGCTGATTTATAGCAGGAAGACTGGAAAGCAATGCTGTGCTGGGAGGTAATAGATCAGCGGTCAGGGGAGTCCAAGGCTATTGCTCTGCCTCCTGATTCTCTGGAGGGCGGGGAATTCACCGGCTGTCACTGGGGCCTTAAAATGGAATGTTCTTGTTTTATGCTGTTGAATATTGGTGATTGCAAGGCAGCGTGGGAGCAGCCCCAGCCCCGCCCCCGCCTCCCACCACATTGAGAAGATTGAAATGTTTCCGATTGAAATGTTGTCTGTTTACAGCCCATATTTCCTCCAAGCTGTATATTTTATTGTCATATTGACACTAATTTGACTTGGGTGTCACCTCCGTTCTGACGCCCATTCTTTATGCTGCCTGCGGGTCCAAGGGGGTTTTCAGAAACCAATTACATTGATCACACCACAGAGAGGCAGGCGGAGCTGCCCGGGGGACTGCCAGAGGCCCCAGGCGGGCCAGGAGTCCGTGCCCAGCCTGCAGACAGGAGGGAGACTGAGGCAGAGGACAGCTGGGTGCAGACCCGGGCTCGGTAGGTAACCCTGCACAGACACGAAGTCCCTTTCGAGGTGAGGAACTTGAGACCCCTGAGCCTGAGCCCTCAATGTCATTGTCTACATCACAGAGCTAGGCCATGGTGCCGGTCAGCCTCAGCCCCAAGCCCTTGGGCTCCAAGGCCTAGGTGTTTTCAGTTCCCCCGATGATCTTACTTTATGTGGTGCTGGGGGCGAGGGGGCTGTGGACAGCTAAGTATGCAGCAGGTGAAGGTCTTCCAGTTGGGTTTCCTTAGGGCATTTCCTCAGTGAGTCCAGAAGGTATGTGGGTGGGGCTGGGCTGTGCAGGGATGCTCCCTAGCCAGTGACGAGCCAGGGCCCACGAGCTGGGTCCCTGCCTCCTCCCGAGGCCCGAGGCCCAGCTTCCACTCCTCAGGACATACCCCCAGAGCTCGGGCGACATGCCTGTCACTAGCGCATCACAACCCTGAGGTGGAGGTTGTCGGCCCATCTTCCATGTAGGCACCAGCGCGGGGAGGTTCAGAGCCTCACCCAAAGTCACCCAGGTCAGAGCGGCCAAACGGTCAGAACCCAGTCTGCCCATGCCCGGGGCCTGTTCTAAACCTCCTGCCCTTCCCGGCTGCCCCAGAGAAAGCGGCAGTATCCCGGAGCACTTCGGGGTCACCTAGGGCAATCCCTGGCACCCTGCCTGGGGCCATGGGCATCTCTCGCCAGACAGCGAGCTTCACGGAGGGCAGGGCCGAGGGTCTCCCTTGCTCGCAGCCCCCAGAAGTGTCCAGCGCAGTGCCTCGTACACCATCACCACAACAAGGCTCTGATGGGTGAATGAACTAACATATGAATGGGCAAAAGAAAGACCTGGCGGATCAAAAAGGATCCAGATGCCAACGGCAGCCGGAGTGGGTAGTACAGGGCGTCACCCCGGGGAGGACAGGCTGGTGTCCAGTCACCCGGCAGCTGACGGAAATCAGCACAGACTCGTCCACAGATGAGCAGACGCAACAGCTCTGCCAGTCCCCAGTCATAAATCACAGGAGAAGCCACAGGAAACGAGTGCCAGGATTTTCTTTCTATTTAGTAATTTATCAAGGGAAGAGGCACATTAATAAACATATTTCCCTCGAGGGGTGGGAATAACAGAGATGAATATCACTGTCAGATTTGGCCTGTTTCCTCTTGTTAGGGGCGCGGGAGAGGGTGGGAATCCAAATATTAGCAGCAAAATCTGTTTTTTAAAACATGTATTAGAGAGAGGGGTGTATTTCTTCCTCGACAAGATGTTGGGTTTTCCCTGCCACCTCCCACTTCTCCATTTGCCACCCGGTTCGTAAGTAATAGGAATCTGGGAGGATTCACGTCTGCGTCTTTGGTTTTCCTTCGATGTGAGGACTGACAAGGAGTGAACTCAGTGAATAAGAACGAAGGAGCCCGGATGGATGGGCGGATGAGTGAATGCCGTAGTGACAGACGTACTGCTGTGTGGCCCTATCATGTCTTCTAGGCTTGCTGCCTCTTGCTCCAGTATTAGCTTGAGGCTCAGCCCGCCCGTCAGAACCATCCTCCTCGCCCCTAAAGAAGCGACGTTAATTCTGTTTCGTTTTAGAAGGTCTGTTGGGTTTTAGGCGCCTTGGTGTTCTCCTGGTGTCCTCAGAAGAACTCTGCAAGCCAAGCTGTGCCGCCCCCATTGTACAGATGGGCAAAGAGAGGCTCGGGAGGCTGAGTGAGACAAGCGCTAAGCGTTGGGTTTGGGGTGGCCGGCCGGCACGGCTATGTGTCTCCACATGGTGTGTATGTGCGTCTGTCCACCCCATCCCCCCCACCCCCAGCACATCCCCCCCACCCCCCCACAAGGTGCATCTCCTCTCCAGCCTAGGTGGAGGCGGTGTGCTGAGTGGTTTGGTGGCCCCCTGCCTGACTTCCAGGGCAGTTTATACTATTGAAGGCTTTAAAGATTAAACAATTTAGGGGCCCCTGGGTGGCTCAGTCGGTTCAGCATCTGACTTCGGCTCAGGTCATGATCTCGCAGTTCGTGAGTTTGAGCCCCGTGTTGGGCTCTGTGCTGACAGCTCGGAGCCTGGAGCCTGCTTCGGATTCTGTCTCCCTCTTTCTCCACCCCTTTCCCGCTCATGCTCTGTCTCTCTCCCTCTTTCAAAAATAAACACTAAAAAAAAATTTTTTAATAAAAAAATAGTTTAATACCTTGGAGTGCTCAAGACAGCACCCAGCACCTTCTAGGCATCGCATACATACTAGCCTTCCCTGGGTGTGATTTTGCTGCCGTCCCTCAGGCCGCCACACCTGTGCCGGCACCTCTGCGTTTACCATCTTCCGCTCGGGCTCACCACTGAGCCAGCTCTACACGTATGCATATAACAGTGAGGGGGCCAGGACCCAAGTCCCCAAGGCGTGAAGGCAGGAGGGGCAGAAGCGATCAGATAGCCACACCAGTGGATGCCGACTTGCGGAGGTGACACCGCTTGGGTCGGGGTGGGGACCTTCCCAGTCAGAGGATGTCAGGGGGCTCTCCCTGGGAAAGTGATAACCTGCTGAGGCCTGAGCACAGAGAGGAGGGAAGAGCACTTCAGGCAGAGCACCCCACATGTGCAAAGGCCCTGTGCGGGAGGGCAGTGACGGGAGCTGGAAGGTGGCTGGGGCAGAGCCTGGGAGGTGGGCAGGAGGGGGCTGGAGAGGTGGGCAGGGGACACCCACAAGGCCTCCAAGCAAAAGCCACCCTGAGCTTTGGAAAGGTTGGGGCAGGGGGCACAGGGACATGATTCAGTTTACACGTTAAAACACTCTCTCAGGCTGCAGTGAGGAATGTGGATGCGACAGCAACTAGCTGAGGGCCCTGGGGTGACCCCGGCTGGTGGTAGGCTGGGGGGAGAGGAAGGGGACCCCTGTAGGCAGCTTTGAGGGCAGACTCAGTGGTGAAGGAGGTGAGAATGGGAACACATCAGGCCAACCCTGGTTCCGGTTCCCGCACTGCTGCCGTGGGGGGAGGGGGGGCGCCCGCTGAGCTCAGCCTGGCGGGATGCCTGTAGTGACCTGAAACTGCCTTTCCGACAGTTCTCACCATGGCCTCAGAGGGTGGTTGTCCCAGTGGCCCAGGAGGGAAGGACCCCCCCCCCCGGGTTTGCCAGCCAAGGGCTAGGGCTTGGAGGAGCACCAGGCACAGGTGCCCCCAGGGCCCAGCAGAGGGTCCCGGGGCATGAGGGGGGGGGGGCAGGGGCTCTGCTGAGGCTTCTGCGTTGGGAGATGGGCAGTCTGCCCTCACACACGCCAAATGTGCCCCGAGCCTTCGCGGGGCGGGGCCGGGCCTGCACAGGGACGGGGGCTCAGATCCACACAGCTGTGGGGGTGAGGCACCAACACGCCAACCCTGCAGCTGCCGCCTCCCTGGAGGAGGAGCACCTGTGGGGTCTCAGCAGCTCTGAGCCGACAGACGGAAGGAGGCACAGAGGGAAGGAGGCGGGCTGCGTGTAGCAGGGGTGTGCACCGGAAGTGCAGGGGCGTGGCCGAGCACCTGGGTGCCCCTCACGCATCGCCTAAGGTATTCCTCACCACGGCCCCAGAGCGCAGAACCAGGACACCCTTTCGCAGAGAGGAAACCGGGGCTCAGGGAGGGTCCGGACAGCGCAGAAGCGGGCATGTGGGAGTTGCCTGGTGATGCTGTCAGGGCGTCTATTCTAAACCATTGTTTGTGCGGAGGAGAGAGCCAGAACCCTGCGCGGGACAGGGGGGGCGCAGTCTGGAGCTGGGGGAGAGTGTGACCCCGTCTGGGGCAGGCTCTCCTCCCTTCCCGCAGGGCCTTATGGGTGAGGGGTGAGAGCTTTCGCGAGGGGCTGTCGGGGGTGGGGTGGGGGTGTGCCTGTGCATGGTGAATGTTTAAGGTGACAGGTCCCCGAAGCCTCGGGCAACTCCAGAAGCGGGGACAGTGGCTCCCCTCAGGTGGGTCTGGAAGGACGCTGACTATGCCCATTTCTTGATCTTGTCCTAGCTTTATGGGTGGATTCACTCGTGGCCACCAAGCTATTCCACTCTTAGCTGCTCCGCCTTATGTGTTGCTGAATACAGCCCTGCTCTCTGTCTGCAAAACTAAGAGGAGAGGCACTAACTTAGGTCCATTGAGCATATTCTCTCCCCCAAGCATCAGACCTGGGCTTCTCACACCCTCCCCACACCATGCATGGATCAATCCCATTCTGTAGATGAGCAAACTGAGCTTGAGCGAGGCCAAGGCCCCAGCCGTGGTTCTCATTAGACCGTCCTCCATGGCTCTTGCCGCCACCCCCCACCTCCCAGTGCCCCTTCCTCAGCTCTACCCTCGACAAGCACAGTGATGCCTGGGGTTGGCTGTCCCCACAGTGTCGCGCTTCTCCAGCCCACGGGTGACACCGCGCCTGAGCCGCAAGCGGGCGCTGTCCATCTCCCCGCTCTCAGACGCCAGCCTGGACCTGCAGCGCATGATCCGGACCTCGCCCAACTCGCTGGTGGCCTACATCAACAACTCCCGCAGCAGCTCTGCGGCCAGCGGCTCCTACGGGCACCTGTCAGCAGGTACCCTCAGGTGAGCCCAGCCTGCATGCAGGTGGCTGAGCACTGGAAGGAGGGCTGGGGGCCCCGGGGCGGGGGGGGGGGGGGGGGGAGAGGGAGGGTCCATGCTTTCAGCCCCTGGAGAAAGAAGGCCATGTGGCATTTGTGAATCAGTGTGCTTGCAGCCGCCTCCTGAATTGCAAACCAGTGACGATGACATTGCAACGTGCCAGTGTTTGAGCATGTCTTCTTGCATCCGCTCATCCCCCTGACACGCTCTCTGCTGTGAAAAGTAGAGTTTACCGGGCTGACATGAAAGAGTCAATCATGAAAGCAAAGGGCGCTTTCTTAGTATTTCAGCAGGTGCTGTGGGGCAGACGTGGCCGTTGGTGGCACTGGGGACCATGCCACGTGTGACCCCAACTTGCGTTGTGCCAGGTGTCTGGGCAGGCAGCAAGCTTCCCACTGTGGCCACGGCACGGCACACCCAAACCTCATTGAAGCCATTCGCCCTTGACCCCACCCCCCCCATCCCTCTCGTGCAGCCCATGGCTATTCTAAGGACTCAGACCCAACCACCTTGACTAAACTCATTTCCTGCACCCAGACCCGCCTCACAGAGGCCAGGAGGGGTTAGGAATGTCAGGAGGGCCTGGCCCTGGAACACAGAGATGGAAATGATAACAAGGTTGTTAGCTGTCTTTTGCCACAAAACCAATTACTCCCAACCTTAGCTGCTTAATTTTTTTTATAGTTTATTTTTATTTTTGAGAGAGAGAGAGAGAGCATGAGTGGCAGAGGGGCAGAGAGAGAGGGAGACACAGAATCTGAAGCAGGCTCCAGGCTCCAAGCTGCCCGCACAGAACCCCATGCGGGGCTCGAACCCACGAACTGTGAGATCATGACTTGAGCCAAAGTCGGATGCTTAACCGACTGAGCCAGCCAGACACCCTCAACCTTAGCTGTTTAAAACAACCACAAGCATTTACCATGTCGAACTGTGTCTTGGGGTCAAGAAAATGAGACTGGCTTAGCTGTGGGTCTCCTGAGCCCGCACTGAAGATGTCCACCAGGGCTGTAAGGCACCTGAAGTCTTGCCGGGCCTGGGGCTCTGTTTTCCAAGGTGGTTCACCCACGTGCGCATTGGCCAGAGCTTTAGTTCACATTACAGGAGCCCCTAGATAAGGTTGCTTTTGCTTCCTCACAGCATGGCGGCTGGGTCCCTCCTCCACCCCCAGAGTGAGCCATGCCGGAGAGAGCGAGGAGGAACACACCTATCCTTTTTTATACGTTTATTTATTTGAGAGAGAGAGACGTGGGGAGGGACAGACAGAGAGAGAATCTCAAGCCCTGATGAGGGGCTCCATACCATGAACTTTGAGACCATGACCTGAGCTGAATGGAAGTGGATGTTCAACTGACTGAGCCACCCAGACGCCCCAAGCCACATGTCTTACATGGCTTAGCCTTGGAGGTCACCATTATTCCCACAATATCCTGTTCTGCAGAGAGTGGCCCGTGTGCAGGTGACATGAAGGAGCCTAGAAGTGCAGGAGAAGTGAAAGAAGAGAAGGGTGATGTGCGCTAGAGGGCCCAGGGCACATGTCCTGGACAAGGGAACATCAGAACTGGCCTCAGGGGCCTGGGGGGGGGGGGCGCAGATGGCCAGGGAGTGATGACGCAGGGGTGCATCTCATGCATCAGAGCGGTGAAGGGCTGGGGTGGGGGGATGAGATGGCAGGCAGTGGGACCCCCTGCTGGCTCTTGAGCAAGGCAGAGCCATGCTGACAGTGCCATGAGCAGCACGCCCCTTCTGATCCCTGGCAAGGTCTTCTCTGCCCCCTCGGCTCCGTTCCATGACTCCTCTGCTCTCCTCTGCAGCCCAGCCTTCTCCTTCCCCCACCCCATCAACCCGGTGGCCTACCAGCAGATCCTGAGCCAGCAGAGGGGCCTGGGCTCTGCCTTCGGACACACCCCACCCTTGATCCAGCCCTCACCCACCTTCCTAGCCCAGCAGCCCGTGGCCCTCGCCTCCATCAATGCCACGCCGACCCAGCTCGGAGGCACCGCTGCCTGTCTGAGTGACCCCACCACCCAGGTAGGTGGGTCCCCGGATCCTCAGGGCCCCATGAGAGCTGATCGCTGCCGTCTCATGCTGGGAACTCGTGAAAGGACTCCAGGCACGGGTCTAGCTGGTGGGATGCCTTCTGGCCCTGGGCCGCGGGATCAGAAGGGCTGGATGCCAGATGAGGAGCCCTGGGCTGGGTCCCGATGCCCTCACCTTCCCTGGCCTAGCCCTGTGCTCCTGCTCTCATGCTTCAGGACCCCCTGCTCCAGAGGGCTGGGAAACTGAGGCTCTCGGAACAGGAGTGCAGGTGCCCCACGTTTCCCAAAGAGAGGGTTTCTTTTCCGTTCCCAGGGAGGTGAGGGGTTGAAAGGCTGAGCTCTGGGCTCTCTCCTGGCTATGCCCCTTGGCCAGAGGATCAAGTCGGGGGACCCGGCTTCTGAAACTTCAAGCAAAAGTGCTGGCCCAACCTAGGTGGGGAGGATCCCAGAGGTAAAGCCCAAACAGAACTTGGGGTACCCTCACCCTGCCCCTTCGTGATGGACTCCCCTACCCCCTCCCTCAGAACAAGCAGAGCAGCGAGTCAGCTGTGAGCAGCACTGTCAACCCCATCGTCATTCATAAGCGCAGCAAAGTCAAGACAGAGGCGGAGGGCCTGCGGCCAGCCTCCCCACTGACGCTGACACAGGTAACCTGCAGGCTGTCCTGGTCATCCTCCGGCTGGGTCAGCGGACCCGGGCCCTTGGCCCTGGTGGTGAATGGATGAACAGATGGCTGCATGCATGCATGAGTGAACCTGAGAGGGCGGGGACACTGTGCGCTCAGGGGGGACCAAGGCTGTGGCCCCAGCACCCTGCACATTACATGCTCATCAGACACATGCTGAAAGGATGGATGGATGGATGGATGGATAGATGGATAAATGGGTCGATGGATCGATGGATGGATGGATGATGGGTGAATGGATGGATGGATGGATAAATGGATGGATCAATGGATGATGGGTGGATGGATGAATGATGGATGGATGGACGGATAAATGGATGGATGGATAAATGGATGGATGGATCAATGGATGGATTGATGGATGGATGGAAGGAAATGGATAGGTGGATGGATGGATAAATGGATGGATCGATGGATGATGGGTGGATGGATGAATGATGGATGGATGGACGGATAAATGGATGGATGGATAGATGGATGGATGGATGGATGGAAGGAAATGGATAGGTGGATGGATAGATGGATGGGGCTGCAGCCATCTCCACCCCACACCTCATACAAGCCCGTCAGACTCAGTTACTCCTGTCCCCTGAATGGCTGTGGCCCCTGTCCAGTTGTTCCCTGTCCCTAGAACTCCACCCCCACCATGCCCCCTTCACTGCCACCTTTCCTGACTCTCCTGACTAATAGGACTCGTGTCTGCCCAGACGCCAATCCTAGCTTCTCACCTGTTGTCTTTGGAGCTAAAGTTTTGGGAGGCTGCACTTGGGAGAAGGGCCTGATCTGGCCCAACGTCAATAGGGTTTACGTAGGGCCTGGTGCGAAGTCACTATGAAATATGATTTTCTGATGACTCGATGTACATTTAAGGGAGTGAGAAACACCGTGAAGAAGGGAGGCAAGGAAGGTGATTTGGGGCAGGAAGGTGAGGAAGGGAGCACATCAGCCCCGGGCCTGTTGCAGGGTCCCTGTAAAAATCCTGCCACTTACCCGGATGCTCTGAGACGGCAGGCCGACGGTCCCAGCTCTTGGAGCAAAGGCCTGTCACAGGAAGGAAAGGCTTGGTGTGAGCTCTGACCCCGCGGGCGAGCCTCCCGCCCCCCAGGCCTCAGACAGTGGCGTGGTCTCCATCTGTTACGACAGCACCACCAGCTTTGACACGAGGGACGCAGGGGACCTCCCGTCCCCCGTCTTCCCTACGTCTGCCAGATCATCCTTTATCCAACCTGTAAACCGTCGGGCATGCTCTGGGCAGTTAATTTTTATGAAATATCGGGTCCTGTTATTGTCAGGCAAACAGAGGAGTTGGTGACAAATTCTTCTCCCCTCGCCGCCGCCAAAGCATCTCAGCGTGATGCATGGTTTCCACGAGGTCGGCCATCATCGGGGGCTGTGGAAATTGATGAGGACGGCACATATCCAGGGGAGATAAACACGCCGCAGCGCCGAGGACAGGCGCTGAGCCCCGGGGAGCCCCTGCCCCGCCCCGCCACCCAGAAAGGCAGCGCAGAGCCCTCCTTCCTGCCCGACCCGACTCCTCCAACGTGTCGGTGGAAGGAAAGCCGTTTATCACGAGAGGCTGTCACTGTGCCACTCAGGGTCTTGATTCAGTGACCTGTCTCATTTGCAAGGTGGATGGGCGTGCTTTCCCGTGGCAGGCGTGCAGTGTACTGAATCCCCACTCTGCTTCAGCCCTCACAACCGCGGGCTGGGGTGATGCCCACCCCCGCCCGGAGGCCCGAGCGCACCCCCTGCCCCCCGCACCTTCGTCCCAGCCTGGCACACCTGTGCCTCCCCCTCCGCTCCCACTCCCAGCCTCGCCTTTGCCCCTGCGTCCCCTGCCTTTCCGTTGTCGCCTTGAACAGGGCACACGCGGGCCCCATCTGGATGAGGAGACGCCAGCGGGGACATGGGCTGTCACTCCCTGAGAGCTCTGCGGAGAGCACGGGGGCCCCTCCCGAACCCACTTTCCTGGCTGTGCTGCAAGAACACACATGGCCAGGTGTTAGGGCTGTGGCTGGGAGACGAGTCAGGGCGTGCTCTGTGTCCTGGCAGGCGGGGGCAATGTGAGAGTAAGTCGTCGAAGGGCCAGGCCAGGTGCACGTTGGCTCCTCTCTGCCTCCAGGCAGGAGCAGCCCCCTCCCTGCACGCTGGAAATGAAAAGGCCCCCACCCCAATCACCTGGGGGCCCCATGGGCTCTGCCGAGGAAACCAAACCAAGTACGAAAAAGTCACTGCCCTCCTCTCCCACTCTGCTCGCCAAGTTGGTTGACCCCAGATGTGACAGGACACTTTGGTGATGACAGGCCAGCAGCAGAGAGGAAGGAGGGGCCCCAGGACAGCTGTGCAACAGGCTGGGCGGGAGCTGGCTGAGGAAAGCGAGAAGGGGGACGAGCACATACATGTACGTGTGCGTGCGTACACAAGCGCGCGTGTGTGTGCTCGCGTGTGTGTGCATGTGCATGCGGGCTCGTGTGTGGATGTGCATGCATGTGTCTCCATATGCATACCAGCCCAGGGTCCTCAGCATCGACTGCTGGGGCCAGCAGTGACCTTTCGGGGCCAGGTGGCTGAACATGGCCCCCGTGGGCTGCTCTGCTCCTCCCCCAGGAGCAGCTGGCTGATCTCAAGGAAGACTTGGACAGGGACGACTGTAAGCAGGAGGCCGAAGTGATCGTCTACGAGACCAACTGCCACTGGGGGGACTGCAGCAAGGAGTACGACACCCAGGAGCAGCTGGTGCACGTAAGCCTCGAAGCCCCGGCACCCTGCCCAGCAGGCAGAATGTCCGCCCCTCTGCGGGACAGAGGGGGCTGGACGAGGCAGCTCTAAGAGGTGCCTGGGCCACATCCTCTGCAAGTGGGGCGCCTGATTACTTACCCGGGCCCTGCCTGCTTCCAAAAGGGCACTTACAAATACATACATAGTAGAAGAGATTAAAACAAAAAGATGTACATGAGAAAATTAAGGAGAAAAGCACACTCAGATGAAGCCAGGAGTAGAATGGATTTAAAAAACTATGTGCTCTGAGCTTTAATTCACATAAAGTTTTTTTTTTTCCTCCTGAGCTTTTTTCCCTCCTGAGCTTCCTAGCAGCCAGTGCAAAGAGGGAAATAAGATTAGTTAAACCAGCAGGCATCTACAAATACGGACCCCGAAACCTGAAAGAAGTTCCTCCTGTGGAGGAAGGAGTTAGTAATTTCCTCTTGGAGACTGTTCCCAGAGACCCAGCACATGCAAGCGCAGATGGGGGGTGTGTGCCGTATCAGGAGGAGGCTGCTTAGAAGTACCTGGTCCTGATGGGACACCAGAGAGGCCACGGGACCCGGGTGCGCCTTCACATCGTGTCCCTTGGTCCACACTCGGAACTTTTCTACAGCAGCACCCATATGATGGCGGTCGGGAGGTAACCCTTGAGGCGCAGGGAGCAGACCCTTCAAAGCTGGCTGCACCACTCCTCGCCGAGCCGTTCCAAGCCAGCAACTTAACCCCCAGCGGCCCCAGTGTTTTTCCTCCCATAACGGGGGTGAAGCCTACCCAACAGCGTTGTGAAGGTGAAATGTGATACCAACATAAGCACTTGGCAGATGGCCTCCCGTGCAGGGGGCCTAGCCTCCCTCCCCCTCCTCTCCGGTCCCCACTCCAGCCCTGAGCCGGTCTCTCCTCTCCACCCAGAAGACAGCTTGATTTCAAGGGTCACTCTCCCAATACAGCTCCCCTCACCACCCGCACGCCCCTGGGTGAATGAGAGTCTGTGAAGATGAGCCCCACAGCAGCCCACAGTCACATGGCTGGATGGGGTAGAGACACAGTGCTCACATCCGGAAGCCATCCTAGGAGTTTGCTTCTCCATGGCTTTGTGGAGTCCAGAGTTAGGACACGGCCCGCTCCCTCTGCTTCCCCTGGTCACGCCCGTTGCTGTCAAATGCCCAGGGTTTCTTCTGCGTTGGGGTGCCCTCTCCCCCATTGTGAGGACACAGGAGGTCAGAATTTCCCAGCAAACCTGTTGCAGCCGACCGAGCACCCGTGAAATGGGGCTGCCTTAATCCCTTCTGGAATTTGAACATAATTTTTCAACCTGTTCCACGTCTTTGGGTAAACCATCCGGAGATGGAGAAGGAGTCCCTGGGGCTGTGAGTCGTAGGACAGATGAAATTCGATGAAAGAGAGGCAGGACTGCATGTGCGGCCGGGAGGGGACCTGGAGGGGAGGGGGGCGGGGAGGAGACGCAGGCTTGAGAGGTGTGTGCACGGTGATGAGCGAGCTGGCACCCAAGAGCAGGGAGGGAGTTGCTCACATACAGGCAGTCAGGGGAAAGAGGGCTTCAGCTGCGGGCCTCTGCCCGTGCCCAGGACTGTCCCCGTGGGCCCAGGTGATCGCCTCTGCCTGGCCCTGGAGAGAGAAGCCCCCTACGAGAAGAGAGGCGGCCCCTCTGCCCAGCTGTGCCTCCCTCTCCGCTCCCTGGGAAGATGGATGGTGGCAGGCACACAGGCGAGCTGGAGCCCCCAGTCGATTATTAACAATTTGTTGCTAAGTAAACCAATAAGAAAAAAATGAAAGGCATTGTCAGGAAGCATTTTTATCATTTGAGAGGCTTTAAAAATGGAAAGTGAGGCTAATCTGATAAGATTTCCCTGGAAGTTCAAAGCTGTAGATTTTACTTGCTTCCACGTGGACATTTGTATGCATGGCGGTCAGGCGGGTTTCTCGGGCTGTGGGGGCCTGGCGGTTTTCTGTCTCCTCCGGGTCAGGTGCCCATATGCTCAGCTCTCCAACAGCCCCGTGGACTGCAGACAGCTGTGGCAGCACAGTCCAGTGGAAAGACAATGCCAGGCACAAATGGCCACCACTCATGTCATTTTATGTTAACCTGGAGGCATGTTTTTAAAAAAAAAAATAAAAGGAAACAGGTGAAATTCACTTGAATAGTAAATTTTATTTACGCCAGTATATCTGAAAGGTTATCATTTTGATGTGCCATCAATATAAAACAAAATTATTGAGATATTTTATTTACATCCTTACTATTTTTTTTTATTCTCCATCTTTGAAACAGCCCATCCCAGGTGGGGCCAGCCACATGCCAAGGGCTCTCGAGCCAAAGGTGGCTAATGGCTGCTGCACTGGAGATTGTGGTGGGTGGGAGGCACCGAAGGCTGGAAAAGGAACCAAGAAAAGAGAAGGAAGGCACTGGGGCTGCAGAGAACAGGCACCCGAGAGCAGAGTGTCTCACCCTCCCCATCCACCTGGGGAGAAGCAAGCCCAGCCCCATTCACACACAGATGGGACATGACCTTGATGCGGTGCAAGGAGGCTCCCCAGTGGCCTTTAGATAGAAGCCCTAGAGGGAGAAGAGGCATGCAAGGTCCGGTATACTTTTTCAGTCTACTGTGTGAGTGGCTAATATCACCTTCTTTCACTCCCCAAGATAAATAAGCCACCTCAAAGATTAAGGACATAAAAGTCTGGACATTTGCACACATCATAAGCTCAGAGGCAGTAAACCCCTTCTCCAGTGAGTCCTGTACCCTTCAGTTAAATAATCAAAGCAAGTGACTAAAATCCCAAGGGCTCTGCACCTAACCTGGGATGCAAGGCACCCCCTGCCGTGCCTCCAGACCAGCCGTGCTGCATTTGGCTGACCTGCCCGACCCTCCCGGACCATTTTGTCCCAGGGACAGCATCACACAGTGCCCAGAGCCCACCGTCGGGGTCCTGTCGAGCCCCACCCACCCACCCTTGCTGCCTGGGCCCTGCACAGCCCACATCACAATCGGGGCCTCGGCGAAAAGGGTCAGAAGAACCACCATCTCCTAGGTTACTGTCAAAAACAGATGAGGAGACACTGATGTTTGCATTAGAATAAAAAAGTGTATTTACAAACTCTTGGCACAACAGGGGCAAGCTTGGGAGCAGCGTCTCCGGCGCCAACCACATTCATGCCTGCCTCACTACAGTGAATTAGTGCCTACTGTTTGCAGCCCAGGAGCATCATCCTACCCACCGGAACCTAGGGCCCAGGCTGGGGTGAGCGGGGTGACTTTGCCCGTCATAGACGGGCACTTTGATGACAGAATTGGGAAATGCAGTGAGACAAGAAGATCACACAGTAGGCCTTCAGTTAACGGCAGTGAATGAGAAGGAGGCGTGGCCTGGCACACGGGGTAGTCTTGTTGGGTGGGGTGTCCGCCTATGGCAGGTGCCTTCCCCCCCCCTCCACCCCCGTCCCGGCTCCGGTGGCCGGCTCACCCCGCCCCGTGACCTTGCTCCCGGCAGCACATCAACAACGAGCACATCCATGGGGAGAAGAAGGAGTTCGTGTGCCGCTGGCAGGCCTGCACGCGGGAGCAGAAGCCCTTCAAGGCACAGTACATGCTGGTGGTGCACATGCGCCGGCACACGGGCGAGAAGCCGCACAAGTGCACGGTGAGTGGCCCCGCCTCCCCGCCGCGCCCCACGGGTGGGGGGGGGGCTGTGTTGGGCGTGGCTGACCACAGGTCACCTTGGGTTGAGCAGGCCACTGCAGCCTTACCGGACCCGCCCTTCCAAGGGGTCGGCTGTCCTGTGCGCTCCTGCCCTGCACCTTCCGCTGCGCTGGGCTTCTTGAGGCCCCGCCCCCTGTGCTATCCTGATGCTTTGATTTACTCCCAGGGCATGTGTATCTTGGTAACTGCATGGGGGCGGGGGGAGGGGGGGTGCTGCTGTGGTCCCTGTAGTTGTGTCCGTGTGACCATGAGCCCCAGGGTACGGCTGCACCACCACCGTCCACTTGGCTGGCAGACCCCAGACCCAGGGGCCAGCTGAGTGTAAGCACCCTGGAGTGTGCCCCCTGCACAGAGAAAAGTTTCGCCGGTGATTCATTCACAGCTTGAGCAAAATCACTTGGGGTGAATTTCCTTTTTTTTTTTTTTTTTTTTGAATTTCTCTTTTTTAAAGTGAACAAAATGAACACAGAGATAAGACCCTTTAGACAATTTCCCTTATGAGTGAACAGAATTTGTGGCTCTGACTGGTGAGACCTTTTGTTTAACACACACAGTCGCTCCCTCTTTAAAAGGGCCGATGGGAGGCTCAGTCAGTTATACCTCTGACTTCGGCTCAGGTCACGATCTCGAGGTGCACGAGTTCCAGCCCCACATGCAGCTCTATGCTAACAACCTGGAGCCTGGAGCCTACTTCGGATTCTGTGTTTCTCGCTCTCTCTACCCCTTCCCTGCTCGTACTCTGTCTCTACGTCTCTCTCAAAAATAAATATTTAAAAAAGTTTTTTAATAAAAAAATAAAAGGGCTGTTGATCCAGTGATGCACTGACAAGGTTACAGCTAAAACCTCTGGGAACTCCTCTCCGTGGATCACCATATTTCATAATTCCAAGATAGACATTTAATATTATATAACATATTTTAATATCTCTGAAATCAGGCTGTCTTAAAATAGGTGGACCCAGGATTCAATGAAATATGCTACCTTTGTTGCCAAGTTATTTTTTTAATTGAGATAAAATTCACATTCCCTTTTTTAAAAATACAGAATTCAGTGACACGTGGGTGGCTCTGTCAGTTCAGTGTCCAACTTTGGTTCAGATCATGATCTCACGGTTCATGGGTTTGAGCCCTGTGTCGGGCTCTGTGCTGACAGCTTGGAGCCTGGAGTCTGCTTTGGATTCTGTGTCTCCCTCTCTCCCTCTGCCCCTCCTCCTGTCTCTCTGTCTTAAAAATAAATAAACATTTTTAAAAATGTTTTAAATAAAAAATATATACACAATTCAGTGATTTTTAGTATGTTCACAAAGTTGTTCAAGCATCACCACTGGCTAATTTCAGAGCATTGTCATCACCCCAAAAAAGAAACCCTATGCCTGTTCTCTTCCCCACCCCACCCATTCCCTGACAGCCGCTAATCTACCTCCCTGTCTCTGTGAATTGCCTTTTCCAGATAGTTCATAAAAATGGAACCATACAATGGGTATGATTGTGCTTGTGTCTGGCTTTGCTCACTCAGCATGTTTTCAAGATCCATCCATGGTGTAGCATGTATCTATACCTCATTCTTTATTTTAACTTATTTACTTATTTTAAGAGAGAGTGGGGGAGGGGCAGCAAGAGAGGGAAAGAGACAGAATCCCAAGCAGGCTCCACACCAGCAGCGCAGAGCCCCATGTGGGGCTGGACCCCAGGAACCATGAGATCATGACCTGCATCAAGACCAAGAGCCATAAGCTTAACCGACTGAGCCACTCAGGTGCCCCAATACCTCTTTCCTTTTTTTTTTTTTTAATTTTTTTAATGTTTATTTATTTTTCAGACAGAGAGAGACAGAGCATGAGCTGGGGAGGGGCAGAGAGGGAGACACAGAATCTGACGCAGGCTCCAGGCTCTGAGCTGTCCGCACAGAGCCTAGCTCGGGGCTCGAACTCACAAACCGCGAGATCATGACCTGAGCCGAAGTCAGATGCTCTACCGACTGAGCCACCCGGGCGCCCCTATATGAGTTTATTTCTAAACTCTCATCGCTCTGTTACATCGATCCCCATCTGCCCTTATGGTAGCAGCACACACGGTCCTGATTATTATAGTTTTGTACTAAACTCTGCAGTTGGGAAGTGTCCGTCCTCCAGATTTGTCCTTTTGCACACCTCTTTTTTTGTTCTTCCCGGTCCTCTGCGGCAAGTTGTTTCCGTAACATTCTGAGCGGAAGTGCATCATCGCCCTGTGGTACAAGCCGGGAGTTGTAGAAGCATATCAGAGGCATTCGGAGCCAAATGTACTCACTCATACGGATCAGGAATAAAGGGGAGGATATGAAGGGTATGACAGTTCCTGCTGGGATGACCGTGTCATCCTGAGGACAATTTTCACAGCCACGGTAGTTGCTATTGCAGTATCTTGGCAATAGGTACAGAACTCCTACAACGGTCCTTCCTTCCTTCCTCTTTCCCCCCCTCCCTCCCTCCCTCTCTGCCACACTCTAATGCTCCCCCCTTCCTTCCTTTTCAAAAATGTTTCTTGAGTGTCAAACATGGGTTTTTTCCGTCAGATACTAAATACTAGGAACACAAAAATGAACGAGATCTAGATGGCACCTACTCTCTTCAAGGTTGCATCCTAGTGGGAAGGCCAGGTAATAAAATGGTAAAGATGATTATAAATTGTAGTAGAAAATATACAAGGAAAAGGGTAGTGTGATGAATAAGAATATCAAGAAATGCTCTCAGAGGAAATGACCTCAGAGATTGATAGGGGGTGAGCCACCCCAGGGCCGGGGTAAGGTTCCAGCCAGATGGGGCTGTGTGTGCAAAGGCCCGGTGCTGGGAGGAACTCAGTGGGGCCAAGGCACTGAAAGGGGACCAGCATGGCCATACCAAGTGTGAGGGTGGCCAGCTCGTGCCAGGACCTGGCGAAAACTGGATTTAATTCTCAGCACATTTTAATGCACGCCAAAGTTCTGATCGGGGGATGGCACTGGAAACAGTTTAAAATAATATTTTCAAAGAGTTTTTAATGATACAGGATGATTCTCACCATGTGCCATTGATTTTAACAGAGTATGTAACTAAATACTTGATATGGTCCCAGTTTGGGTTTAAAACGTGGAGATAAGGGGCACCTGGGTGGCTCAGGCAGGTAAGTGTTTAACTCGATTTGGCTCAGGTCAGAATCTCATGGTTCATGAGATCGAGCCCTGCACTGGGCTCTGCACTGACAGCACAGAACCTGCTTGTGATTCCCTCTCTCTCTCTGTCCCTCTCCTGCTCTCTCTCTCTCTCTCTCTCTCTCTCTCTCTCTCTAAATAAAAAATAAAACATGGGGATGGGGGTGCCTGGCAGGTTCAGTTGGTTAAGCATCCAACTCTTGACTTCAGCTTGGGTCATGATCTCACAGTTGGTGAGTTCGAGCCCCTCGTTGGGCTCTGTGCTGACAGCATGGGGTCTGCTTCAGATTCTCTAACTTTCTTTCTCTCTCCCCTCCCCCCGCCACTCTCTCTTTCTCTCTTTTTCAAAATAAATAAACTTAAACACAAAAACTGGGGATGAGCTACAGAGTCTCCAGAAAGAGACTTCTTTCGATGTTGGCAGTGACTGTCCTTGAGCAGCTGACGGTCTTCATTTCTCTTTTTGCACTTTACCGTCTTTTCCTAGTTTTCTAGAGAGGCCCAATGTCATTTTATAATCAGAAAGCAAGGTGGACATGACTGTGAAAATACACACTCCTGGGCGCAGCAGTGGGTTACAGCAGGTGGGGGGGCCTGGGGAGCTGCCCTGCATTGGATCCAGGGTGCCCTCGCTGACCGATCCCCTTTCTTCCCAGTTCGAGGGCTGCTCAAAGGCCTACTCTCGCCTGGAGAACCTGAAGACGCACCTGCGGTCCCACACGGGGGAGAAACCTTACGTGTGTGAGCACGAGGGCTGCAACAAGGCCTTCTCCAACGCCTCGGACCGCGCCAAGCACCAGAACCGCACCCACTCCAACGAAGTACGCCACCGCCGGGTGTGCATGGTGCATACATGCGGGTTCCCACGATCACTCGAGGGAATGCGTGGCTTCTAGACCTCTGTAGGCCATCGGGTAGCCGGGTGCCCGGTGCCCGCCCCCCCCCCCAAGCTGCTGTCTGAGCTCAGCACACGCGCACAAGCCCCCGTTAGCTAGGCGGCTGGCAAGCACGCGCCTTTGCCGCTGATGCCATCTGACCTATGGTGGCTGTCAGCCCCCTGCCAATAGGGCACAGGGTAGCCTGGCGGGGCCGAGAGAGCCCCAGGAGAGGAGTCTGCTGCACCGCATCCCCATCCAAGCCCAGCCGCGCAGCTGCTCTGGCTCACATAGACTCGGAAGGAACATGTCTGAAAACTTAGATACATTTTGGACCCCAAAGGGATTTCCTCCAATGCTGGCAAGAAATTTGAAGGATTCCCAAAGGAATCTAAACCCCGTAGGGCCTCTACAGACCAGAGCTAGCCTTGGCGAGGGGTGTGTGTATGCACATGTGTATGTGGGCACGCGTGTATTCCGTGGGTCCGTTGTAGGCTAGGCTGGGTGTGCATGTGGATGTTTATAGACATGTGCGTGCGTGTGTGCAAGGGTGTGTCTGTGCAGGCGTGTGTGAGTCTGTGGGAACGTGGTGGGGGGGGGTCTGGAGGAGCGAGTCTGCACGTAGACGTGGGGTATATAGGTGTGCACACATGTGCGTGAGCTCAGGACCGAGGTTCAGAAACCCTGGGCTTTCGTCCTCTTCCTGAGTGGCTTCGAGCCCGTTCCTTTGCCTCCGTGAACCTGTCGTTCCCCACCAGGGAGATCAGGCTGTTAAGTGCTCTCTGGCCGGGGCCGCAAGGGAGTGTGCTGCTGCTTGTATAGAAATAACCCAGTGCCCTGATGGCGGGGAGGCAGCGCCGCGGTCCCACCAGGCTCGCTGTCCCCGCTCCCTCCGTAGTCCCTGAGCCGTGTCTGTAGCTGCGTCTATCACGGGCCTGCTTCTTCCCCCAGAAACCCTACATCTGCAAGATCCCGGGCTGCACCAAGCGGTACACGGACCCCAGCTCCCTCCGGAAGCACGTAAAGACGGTACACGGCCCGGATGCTCATGTCACCAAGAAGCAGCGCAATGACGTGCACCTCCGTGCCCCGCTGCTCAAGGAGAACGGAGACCACGAGGCCAGTGCCGAGCCCGGGGGCCGGGGTGCCGAGGAGGGCACAGAGGCCAGTGCCGCCGGCCAGGCCGTGGAGGACTGCCTGCACATCAGAGCCATCAAGACGGAGGGCTCCGGGGTAAGCAGAGCCGGGCAGTGGAGGCCCCCGCCCATCCTCCCAGCCCCCCCCAGGAGGCCCACCCCCGAGCCCCGCCTGCCACAGCAGACTCTGCCTCGGGGTCCCCCCTCCTCAGTGCATGATGACACCCTCCTCTCTCCCGCTCGACTTTCCTCCCTTCGCTACCTCGGGCCTCTCCTGGACCCTGTCTCCTGCCACTTCCCATCCAGCCGGGCAGCCCCACGGGCAGCAGGCACCTGCGGGCGGTTCCCGGGCTCTGCCTGGCCGAGCAGCCCCAATCCGCCACGGTTGTCCCCTCCCCTCTGTCCTGTCTCTCCATCCTCACCCTGTGGCCTCCGCTCCTTTTGTTCTAACCACCTGTTCTTTGTCTCTGCCTCTCTTTCTCGACTGTACCTCCCCTAAGGATAGACGGTACTGAGGTGAGCGGAGAAGCCCGGTGGGGGTGCAGGCGGGCGGCATGAGGAGGGCGGCAGGGGTGCTAGTCCAGGGCCGGTGCCCCTCGGGAGCCTGGCAAGGTGGCTTTGGAGAGGTCGACACCACGCACTGCAGGTGCAACCCCGGGGACAGATAAAGGCTGGCAGTAGGAGTCAGGCTGGCAAGTATAGGAGCAAACGTGGGACCCGCCCTCCAGGACAGACAGGGCTGAGTGGAGGCTACAGAGGAGGGAAGGACCAGCTGGCAGGGGGTCTTGAATGCTAACGTGAAAAATACAGGTCGTGCTATGGGCAGAAGGGAGCACCGTCGCTCCTCCAGGAAAAATCTGGAATTTGGGGGCTGTCAGCCTAGGAATGAGCCCAGAGGTGCTGTGTCCAAGGCGAGCCTCAGCCGGGCTCTGATCCCGGGTCCCAGTGAAGGTAGCCCGGGTTCTGTGGAGTCCTGCCTTGTACACGTGTGCCATGAGCTCTCGGCCCTGGACAGACAGCTAGTTTGGGGCGGCCGTTCAGGCAGCGGCTTGCTTCCAGGAGGTCCATTGACCCCAGTCTTCTTTGGGCTTTCCAACAACGTGCGTCTGGCCTGCTGAGAAAGCCCCGGGGCAGCAGGCCTCTGCCGCCCCTTGCTGCATCACATGGCATGTCCCTGCTGTTGGGCGCATGAAGTCCCCTCCTTGAGGTCAGCTTCATGCAGCCGTGGGAGCCTCTGTGAGGCCCAGCTCCAACGTGTCCAAGTGTTGAAAGCCCCATGTGCCAAAGTGTGGCCCAGAAGCCGGCTAAGAGAACAGAGGCGCACGAGGCAGGGTGATGGGGGTCAGTCCACTACGGGTGCCTTCTGTGAACCTGATGCTTGCCACCCAGTCACTGACGCTGTCCCAGAGGCAGTACAGGCCCATCTTCCAGCCGGGGAAGCTGAGGTTCAGAGAAGGGAGGTGGCTTGGCCACCTCCTACAAGCAGACAGCGATGCCTGGGCGTGCAAGGGCACGGTGCATGTGCATACACGTGGGGGCAGGGCCCGGCGGGCTCCCGCACCCTCTGAGCCCGCGTCTTCTCGCCACCCCCCTGCAGCTGTGTCAGTCCAGCCCGGGGGCCCAGTCATCCTGCAGCAGCGAGCCCTCTCCCCTGGGCAGTGCCCCCAACAACGACAGCGGCGTGGAGATGCCGGGCACAGGGCCCGGGAGCCTGGGAGACCTGACAGCCCTGGATGGCACGCCCCCGGGGACCGACGCCTCAGCCCTGGCCGCTCCCTCCGCTGGTGGCCTGCAGCTGCGCAAACACATGACCGCCATGCACCGCTTGGAGCAGCTCAAGAAGGAGAAGCTCAAGTCGCTCAAGGACGCCTGCTCCTGGGCCGGGCCGGCTCCGCACACCCGGAGCACGAAGCTGCCTCCCCTCCCGGGAAGTGGTGAGTGGAGGCCCTGGGTGTGTGGGCAGGGGCGGGAGACAGCCTGGGGCGAGCACCCGCTAGGTTAACCTCCATCAAGTCCCATGTACCATCACACCGGATGCCCACCGTAGGATAGATCTTACCAGTCCATTGCGCTGATGAGGAAAGTGAGGCTCAGAGAGGCGAAAGTGCCCTACTCAGACCAGTGGCCAAGCTGAGGCTTAGCCCGGGCCTGAGAGGCCCCAAACTCCTTCAACTACACCGTGCATTTGCTGGGGGCACCGTGGCAGATGCTCCAGGGAGGAGAGCAATACAACCCAGTCCCTATGGTTAGAAGGAGCCTGTGGTTAAAGGGCCACTCCAGGAGATGCACACTTGACCCAGAAGGAGCCAGGAAGTGGCGTTGGAGCTCAGGGTGGAGCTGCGCACAGGAGGGAGAGTGCAGGTCAGCAGAGGACGAGCAGGGAGGACTTCATGGAGAAGGCAGCCGCAGGAGGGGTTGACCGTGCTCTGACGCTCCCGAGTGCTGACTGTGTGTCAGGCAGTGTGCCCTCCAGGAACCAACAGCCAGTGTGATGGACACTGAGAGGCACCAGCTTCCCCTTGAAGGGAGGATTTGTTGCCCCAGCTGTTGAAGGAGCAGCTGGTACATGGCCTTCAACTCTCAGCCTCATACAGAAATCGCCTGGGCAGCAGACAGCTGCCTTACCCAAGGTCACCCCTTCCTGGGGCGGCCCCCCCCACCCACTGCAGGAGTGTCAGGCCATTCAAGGCCCAGAGCTCCCTGTGACATCAGCTGTCATTGGGCCTGTGTCTCCCTGCATGCCCTGGGGATGCCCTTTGCTCCCTTCCATAGGTGCAGATCTCAGGGGGCTGCCTATAAGCACTGGTCAGCCCAGCCCCTGGGGAGCCCGCGGGACCACACCCATGCCCAGAAGGTGAGGGTGGAGCCAGGCTGTGGCCAGGACCTTCGGGGCTCCTCCTCCCTCCCCTCCTCCCAATAACCTCCTCCCATGGAGAGGTGTGTTCTCTCTATAGCTGGAGAAACTAAGGATCAGACATGATGAGAATTCAGGGCCAGCCAGGCAATGGTAGCGAAGACGGAATCCAGCCCCCCAACTCCCCTTTGCCCATCTTTAGTAATAAATGCCGTTGTTTGCTCACTTACTGTTCTTCCCCGCCCTCCTTTCATTTAGAAGTCATTGGTTGAGTGCCTGCTGTGTGCCAGGCCCCGTACGAGGGCTCCAGTAGCCGCACCGCAGGCAGGGCCCCGCACCCTTGCCGCTGGCGCTGACCCCTCTCCTTCCCCGCAGGCTCCATCCTGGAAAACCTCGGCGGCGGCGGCGGCGGCGGCGGGCTGCTGCCCAACTCGCGGCTGTCCGAGCTGTCCGCGAGCGAGGTGACCATGCTGAGCCACCTGCAGGAGCGCCGCGACAGCTCCACCAGCACGGTCAGCTCCGCCTACACCGTGAGCCGCCGCTCCTCCGGCATCTCCCCCTACTTCTCCAGCCGCCGCTCCAGCGAGGCCTCGCCCCTGGGCGCCGGCCGCCCGCACAACGCCAGCTCCGCCGACTCCTATGACCCTATCTCCACCGACGCGTCGCGGCGCTCCAGCGAGGCCAGCCAGTGCAGCGGCGGCGGCGGCGGCGGCGGCGGCGGCGGCTCGGGGCCGCTCAGCCTCACGCCCGCGCAGCAGTACAGCCTGCGGGCCAAGTACGCCGCGGCCACCGGCGGGCCGCCGCCCACCCCGCTGCCCGGCCTGGAGCGCGCGAGCCTCCGGACCAGGCTGGCGCCGCTGCCCGGGCCCTGCCCACGCATCCTGGGGCCGCGGCGGGGCAGCGACGGCCCGGCCCGCGGCCCCGCGGGGCCCGCGCCCGCCTTCCCCCACGAGGTGCCGGGAGGCGGGGCGCGGCGGGCCAGCGACCCGGTTAGGCGACCCGACGCCCCGGCCGCCCCGCGGGTGCAGCGCTTCCACAGCGCCCACGACGTGAACCCGGCCCCGCTGCCGCCCTGCGCCGACCGGCGAGGGCTCCGCCTGCCGCCCTGCGCGGACGGCGGCCCGGCCCGGGGCGCCTACTCCCCCCGGCCGCCCAGCATCAGCGAGCACGTGGCGATGGAAGCATTGGCGATGGGGGCGGACGGCGCGGAGCCCGACATGGGCCTCGTGCTACCAGAGGACGACCTCGTGCTGCCGGATGACGTGGTCCAGTACATCAGGGCGCACGGCGGCGGTGCCCTGGAAGACAGCCCCTCGCAGGCCTATCCGCCGGAAAGCACCTGCTTCTCCGAGAACCCCAAGCTGCCCAGCCCGGGGCTGCAAGGCCCTCGCAGGATGACGGCCGCCGATTCCAACGGGGCCCCCTCCGCCCCTGTGCTGGAAGGCTGCCAGCTGGGCTACGGGGCGCCCTCGAGCCTGAACAAAAACCACATGCCAGTGCAGTGGAACGAGGTGAGCTCCGGCACCGTGGACACCCTGGCCAGCCAGCCCAAGCCTTCGCCCTTCCTGCAGGGCAACCTGGTGGTGGTGCCACAGAAGGCAGCCTTGGGCCAGTACCCGGGCTATGGTCCACAAGGCCTGCCACTGAGCCCAGGAGCCCTGGACGGCGGTCAGGGACACTTCCAGCCCTGTGGGGGAGGTCTCAACGTGCCTAGGATAAATTACATGCAGCAGCTGCGGCAGCCGGGGACAGGTGGCCAGTGTTCCAATATGGCCACCCCTGTGAGCCCCCACACCAATTATGGCCAAGCCCACCCCCAGCTGAGTCCCAATACCATGGGTGCGACCTTGAACCAGTACCCGCCATCCTGTAACAACATGACAGCCAAGCCAGGCCACTTGGGGCTCCCCCAGCAAATGGAGATTGCTGCCGAAGCCGCCATGATGAGCGGCAGCCGCAGGGAACTTGGAATTGCCAATCCAGCCCTGGCCGGGATGCCACCACTTCACGCGGCCCAGAGCTACCCACAGCAGAGCCACCACCTGGCAAACCCCCTAGGCCAGGAAAACTACCACCAGGGCCCCAGTCTTCTGCCTTCCCAGCAGCCCGGCTTCATGGAGCCCCAGCAGGGCGCCGTGGGGGTCGCGGGATCAAGCTTTGGCCTAGTTCAACCCCGGCCACCCGCTGAGCCCAGCCCTGCCAGCTGCCACCGTGGGGTCCGTGCCGGCTTGCAGCTGGCCTACGCCAGAGCCACTGGCCACGCCATGGCTGCTGTGTCGACCAACCAGGAGATGGCAGACGCGCCCAAGGGAGCCATGGGCAATGTGGCGTCCCGGCCTCCCCAGCCACCCCCGCAGGACACAGGAGGGGTCCAGGACCACAGCCTGCTCTACTACTATGGCCAGATCCACATGTACGAACAGAACGGAGGCCTGGAGAGCCACGTAGGCTGCCAGGTCACACGGCCCCAGGCCTGCCCGGACAGCGTCCAGCCCCAGCCCTTGCCCTCCCCAGGGGTCAACCAGGTGTCCAGCACCGTGGACTCCCAGCTGCTGGAGGCCCCCCAGATTGATTTCGATGCCATCATGGATGACGGCGACCACTCGAGTTTGCTCTCGGGCGCCCTGAGTCCCAGCCTCCTCCACAGCCTCTCCCAGAACTCCTCCTGCCTCACCACTCCCCGGAACTCCCTGACTCTGCCCTCCATCCCCACGGGCATCAGCAACATGGCAGTCGGGGACATGAGCTCCATGCTCACCAGCCTGGCCGAGGAGAGCAAGTTCCTGAATATGATGACCTAAGTCCCCAGCCCCTGGCGCTCCGGGGAGCTGGGGGGAAGCCTCATTTCCCAGAGCATGGGAGTTCTGTTTTGTCTTTTTCCAAAAAAGTATTAAATAGGTCTGAGGGAGTTTTGCCAGTGGCAGGTCCAGACCACAAATGCTTTAAGGGCAGGTTTACAGGCACCCTGTCTGGTCTTTTGGATTCTTTTTCGGAACCCTTTAAAAAAGTCTCAAAGAGAAAGGCCAAGGTAGGAGCGAAAAACTTGTTTGCACAGTGCTTCCCCGCCTTAGGTGTTTATAGGACCAAACCATTCCGGCTTCTTCACCTCCGTCATTTGTCCGATGAGGGATTGCATTGGACAAAGGCTTTCCAAGTACACGAGGAAAGAGGGTAGAGAATCCAAAAGCCATACTGGATATTCCAATCCAGGAAGAGAAGTTGCTCATTCCCGTACCTGCAAGGTAGAGGAATTCCTGGCCCACTGGAATTCTTCTATGAAGCTTACTTCTTGAGGCCTCTGACGTCCCTGTGGCACAGAGGAAGCAACAAGGTTTTTACCTGGGTGACGTGGAGACACGTCCTGATTCCAGGTTTGGTAGAGCTGGCCTCTCTGCCCTGCAAAGCCAAGTTGGCAACTGCAGACTATTCGAGCCTGTAGGAACGACTAAAGCATGGAAGGTATTGCCAGAAAAAAAAAGAAAGAAAAACTGTCATGCTCAGGGCCGGCCCAGAAGCTGCCCTAGCGTCCCCAGACCGTGTTTACAGTGTTCATGCATGTAGAATGTCGCCCTTCCTGGGGAGAACACTTCTGAATACCTCGGGGCTGCTGCAGCCGCTGTGGGTTAGGGATGCACCCAGGTGAGGCGAAGCCTGGCATGGGGCCTCCAGGAAGTGGGAGCGCGCCAGGGGCCCAGCCTCAGGCCACCCTGGAGCTCTCCCATGGGAAGAGGAAGTCGTATGTTTACCCAATCCTGTTTCTCCGATGCACTGTCCGCCCACTTTACCGTGGAAAACCCCGGGACTCTGACGGCAGCCCCTGCCCAGGCCACCCCCAGCTGTGTCGTCTGCTTACCTGCAGCTCAGTGTTCTGTACCAAGGTCCAACACGCAGTCCCGGGGTCTTCTGGATTCCCTTCCCTCCGTTCTTCTGTTCGTTCCACGGAGCGCAATGGCACGCGTGGTGTTTTGTGGGGCTGCGAGGGTGAAGGGGCTGTTTCTTGAGACCCTGAGGGACCACCCTTGAGTTTTCCTGGTCAGTGTGACCAAGGCCCACCTGAAAGGGGAATTTAGAACTGCCATCAGCAGACAGCATTCCTGAACATGCTATAGGGCGAATCAATGCCTCCTCCCCAACACACACACACACACACACACACACACACCCCTCACACCTTTCCCACACTGAATTTGTGGCGACCATGCCAAAACCAGCCACACCACTATGAGCCTGATAACCGTGACCCTGGCCTCAACCACGACAAGGGCCAAAATTCTCCCCAGGACCTCTGCACCCCAGAACATCAGACGCTTTGTTAGGGCCCAGAGACAAAGTCAAGTCCTGGGACCCCTCCGAGGGGCGTGGGCTCCGTGGTGTTCAATCTTGCCCTGAGCTAGGGTTTCACCAGCCATCCCCAGCCCGTGTATAATCTGTACAGAAGGCGTCGTCCCAGAAAATACTGTAGGTGACCCATCCAGCCAAATTTATATCTCCAAAATATTTAGCTTTTTCTACATGCTATGAATTGAGATGACACGCTCAACTTGTAAATACATCTTTTTGTACATTAAAAAAGTAATTTTTTCATAATTTATTTGGTCTATCTGTTTCTCCTTGACAGTAGTTAATGAGAACCCGGGCAGTAAATTTGGTGCATTTGAACAGAAACGAGGCTGTATTTTTTTCACAACAGTGTCAAAATTGACTGCCCCGCCTTCGCCCAGAAATGTTTAATGTTGAGGCATTTACTGGCTTTTGGTCTGTTGTCTCTGGGGGTGAGGGGGTGGGCAGGGCCTGACGATTTACAGTGACTGTCGGAATGTTCTTCCAGCGAGCCGATCTGAGCATCTTGGTTGGTTTGCTCAGACACATATGTACCAGACCCGGGTATATTTCCAAGCTCTCACCCCAAGCAATCGTTATGTCAGGATTCCCTCCTTGATGGGCTATCTGGTGAGCACTTTTGAGTCAGGGTGAGGGTCGCGGGAAGAGACCAGCAGCCTCCTGTGCTCTGGTGCAGTCAGAAGGAGAAAGGACAGGCAGGTGGAACCCCATGATACCCCATAGCCAGCCTTGGGCGATGGGGCCCATGGGGAGCGGTCATGAGCAGGAGCTCCGCCCAGGAAGTGGCCGCAGCAGGTGCACAGGCAGCACTCCGATATAGCAAGCCAGCGGTCAACCATTAAGCAGCAACTAAGCCACTCCAGGGAGCCTCAGGGGTTCAGTGAGTAGGGCATACAGTCACCTGGGATGATTTCTGAGACAGAAGAATGGACAGGAGGGCCAAAGACTGGGTTGGAAAGAGTAGAAGGCACCTTCTGTAGGGCTGGGTGTTCTGGGCCCCTGAACTTCCTCGTCTCCATGAGAAAAACCACGTAGAGGCATTCAGCTCTCTGCCTTGTAACCAAGTGGACTAAAATAAGGCTGTCTGGTTAAGAAGGTAGGAAGCCCAGGTTTCCTTTCTGCGGGGCACCCCAAAGTCTTCCCTGTGTATCTGGCTGTAGTTTCCTGATGGAAAAACTACAGCCAGAGTCACACTCCTGGCCTCATTCCTCCAGTGGGAAGACTCGCCTAGCTGCCTGCACCCCCGGAAGGAGGACCCAAGGGGGGCCTGGCTGGGCCCTATCTCTCCCTCCTTCAGAGCTTATCTCTACCTTCTCTGCTTCACTACATGGTAAGTATCTGGAAGCATCTCTGCCCTGCTTTGGGGGTAGAAGGGGGCCCAAAGTTCAGGGCTGCCTAAGACTTGATGAGTCACAGCATTAAGCCCATCATGGCCATTCAACTGAGCCCCATCAGTTCACTGTGGCCGCACTCATGCTGCATACCAATATCCGCGAAGCCTCGGCCCAATAGTCATCTTCTGAACTTAGGAATCTGGGCCAACTGAGGGTTGGCTGATCCAGGTTGGGCACCTCTGCCAAGATGGGGGCAGCCAAGCCAGTCAGCTTGGCTGGGGAAGCATGTATCTGCCTCTCACCCTCCTCCTTGGGCCAAGATGCTGGCCTGGCCATTGCCTTCTTGTGGCAACAGCAGATGCACAAGAAAATAAGCAGGAAAATGACAGTCTTCTTTAGGCCTCTGCTTCCAACCAGTACACCATGGGCCACCTCATTCTTCCGCCCAAAGCAAGTCATGTGACCTAACCCGTCATCAGTGACATCGGCAAGTGCTTTCCTTCTATGGAAGGGAGAGAAGGAGAGTAAATATTTCTCAACGATACAGAATTCAGGGGCACCTGGGTGGCTCAGGCAGCTAAGCCCCAACTCTTGATTTCAGCTCAGGTCATGATCTCACAGTCAGTGAGTTCGAGCCCCACATTGGGCTCCACATGGACAATGTGGAGCCTGATTGGGATTCTCTCTTTCCCTCTCTCTCTGTTCCTCCCCTGCTCTTCTCTCTCTCAAAATAAATAAATAAACTTATATATATATATATATATATATAATTCACTGCAGTCTACCCTCATCAAGACTGTGATCCATGTCCCTCCCACATGTACAATATACTCACCCTAGACTCCCAAAGTCTATCCAGCCAATCGTCAGGCTCAAAGTCAGGGACCTTGTGACCTACACCTGTTTTGGGTCTGGCTCTTTTTGACCCAGAGACCTAGGAACTAGGAAGAAGCTCTCAGCCCACAAGGCGCATACATAGTCCCAACATACAGTGGTGGCCCTGAGCTAGGTTCACCGCAGTTACCACTCAGTCATTGGTCCACAGTATCTGACACCTGCTGGTGCCCCCACCAGGTGGCATGTTCCCTGAATGGCTCCCCCGTCCATTGTGCTTGCCAACTCTGGCTTCCACCATTGGGGCGTTCTTGTTTTTGCACCAACCCTTTAGCTTCTAAAGAGGCCACTGGGAAGCATGCTTTTTGTGAGAGCAAAGTAACTCTTCGACCTCCTCTTATGGGAAGAAAGTTAGGAGCCTGAGATCCTTTACATTCCCAACACCTTCTGTCCCCTTTACTCCACACATTTGCCCACTCAGCTCTCTCTTGGGGGTTTTCTGCATATTTGATTCCAGGCTGCTCTGTGCCGAAAACCCCACCTGCATCCCTTTGGTGATGTGCCTTGCCCTACGTTGGATGGCGGGTACTTCACGCCATGCTGCATGGGGCCATGGCCTGAAGGTTTCTTGGCACCCTATTGTCACTGAAAGGTATTCTAGAGCCATCTCATTTCTTCCAATGACCATAAGACAAAGGGCATTAAAATCAAAAGACACATCTTTGACTTCGTCTTTGGTGCCATATTTCACTTGGATTTAGTATCTGCCCCCATGCCAAACCAAATCTTAATTTGAAGATCTTAGTGGCTGAAGAGGCTGGAGATGAGAAATAATTTCATTTTCTAAATTCCACTTTAAATTGGCCGGGTCCTTTCTGAACTCATCTCTTACGTGTACTACCTTATCATTTACAGCGCAAAAAAGCTCATGTTTACAACCTTCGGCCTGGAAAACAGCCCTACCAAATTCCACAAATTCATAGGAACGCTTTCTCCCTCCCAGAGTACCATAGGCAGTAATTTTACCAAATATTTCTTCAACACATTGCATATGAGTCACCGTTTGTCTGGCCATTTTCCCAACCTCTTCTAAATTTCCTTACTGTCCAGTTCCAAACCTATGCTACATACTTTTGGACTTTGTTACAGCTGTCTCCCATTTAGGTACCAGTTTCTGAAAAAGCTAACTGCAGCCCCAAAATGCTGTATAACAAAACCCACAAGATCCCCAAGCATACAAGAAGCAATTATTTAGCTCTGAAGTCCACGCATCAGTTGAGTGGGCTTGCCTTGGCTGGGCTCACCGACGCAGCTCAGCTCCTGCTTCTATGCCTTGTCCCATGGAACCGGATGTTTCTACTGGCAAAGGCACAATTGCCCAAGGGCAAGCAAAACCTCAGGAAACCTCTTTAGAGCTCGGCTTGGAATGGGAAGCAAGTC